TTTCATACATATTGTCTCAGTGCCAGTGCTCATGGTCTCTGAAATTAAAAGCATTTCTCATAAAGGGGATTATGAGATTAAAAATATTGTTCATAAAGAACACATTGATCCTCACTGGGAGGATGACAGACATAAAAACATCAAATCACAATGTCACTAAATAAAACTAATTTAGGAGATAACAGTACATTTTTAAATAAATAGTGGGGATGTATTGGATTTACAAACTGCAAGAACTTTCCTTCCCAGTGTGCTCATTCTTCATTTATCATTTTATAAGAAAACTCCTTAAACTAAAAGTTAGTCTCATACAAATGTCACTTGCTAGCTTTCTTGCTAATCCAGAGGAAATATTATCCTAGTGGTCCCTGAGGTCCAATGTCTAGGTGTTGGATACATGATAAACTTACTTGAAGCTTTCTCAGTGAGATATAGTCCTCTGGAGACAGCTGTGGATTTAATTTTTCAAGCTTTAGTACAACCTAACCTCTTAAAAATAAGATTTAAGTTTCCCTTGTCAGGTCACCTAAGAGTTTCTTCTTTTATTTTACTTTATTTTTTTATTTCCCTCCTCTGCTACTTGCCCAGGCTGTTAATCCCCAGCCTCTGGAGGAAACATTTAACCATCGCAAACCTTTCACGTCTTGATCATTTTTTGGTTCCAAAGGACAGCACACATACATTTGGCTTTTGAATTTTTTCTAGTCTGAGAGTTTATCTGAGAGTTTATCAATGCAAAGTAAACAATTTTCAGTCCTGATTATGTAGGTTTCTATGTCGGTGCTGAACAGAGGTGGTTTTTGCAAATTTTGAGCCACTCCTCTGTGGAAGAGCAGTATTTCACACAAAGAGGTGGGTTTCTAGTCTCTGCACTCCATCTTCCTGTGTGTTTATGCTGTCCAGGAGTTGAGTTTAATCCAGTTTTCTTTCCCCTTGATATTTATCACTTAGTGTTTCAGAAATGGTAAATTTAATGTTTCAAGGCATGCACAGAATTTAACTGGCAAGTTCCTGGTATTGAGAAACTCCAATAAGTCATAGCCTGGTTAAGGATGAAGGCTGATCAAGCCAGAAATGTCACAGATGCTGAAATGTATCTGAAATGCAAGGGATATTATACTCCTGATACTTTTAACTGATCCACAAAAATGCTGCTTACAGCTCCTGACCCCCCTCATCTCCCTGCTGTGCACACACAAACACACTCACAGACTGTTCCTTCTCAGGAGCTAAAGGTGCCAGAGGTCTTTCAAGGTCACTTGTCATATTTGTTCTCTACAGTCAACTTTTATTTTTTTTCCTTTCAGCTCGTTTTTCTTTGACTTCCTGAGGAAATTAGTTTTATCTTGCTTTACCTATGCGTGCATTCATCAGGTTTCTGCTCCCTCCCTCTTAATGCCCTTGTGACATGTTGGCCAAGTGCAATTACCATTGAAAGATGTGCATGGAATCTGCAAGTTAATTAAGTTTCTAGAGGCTTGTGTGCTCTGGCTGCTGGGCAGATGAGGGAGAGACCTGTGGTGGGGACTGTGCTGAGGGAGAGTTAAGCAGAGTTCAGCTCTTTGGCAGCAGTGAGAGGTCAGTCCTTCCGTGCACACTCTCCAGACACACAGACAGCACAGAGGAACTGCTGGCCAAGCTGTCCCACAGCAGCTCCAGCCTGGCTGCAGCACAGGCACTTTCTTGTCCAGGGTGGATCTTTCCCAAAAGATGGCAAGTGAGAGGAGCTATGGGGCTTATTTCAGATAGAAGCAGAAAGACACACATCTAAAAGAAGCTCTCATGTTGCTCTCTGGCTCACAGAACAGTCTGTTTTCCAGTTTAGTTCTAACAGTTCTGACTGAAACGATGTTCACCAGCACTGCTGTGAAATGTGCCTCTGTATCAGATGAGGGAAAGCCAGTCTGCTGTTTGCCATCCGAGCCAACAGCAGGGAGGGATCCACAGAGCTGCAGATCTGAAACTCTGCATCTTTACAACTCTGCCTCTGCAAAAAGAGATGCAGATTGAAAAGGTTAAATGGTCTCTCTCATCAGTAGTCTGCACACAGCACTTCTTTCTACAACTCTGTTGTTAGCCATTGCACTCTCTTCTTTCTCAGGGTGGAGTTGCTTTTTTGTCAGGATGGTCACACTCCACACAAAGTCTGTTCCCTCCTGACATCACCCCTTCCACATCACATCACCAGCATGTGCCCTGGTTTTCCCACACTGGGGGGGGCTTCATGCCTGGGCCTTCTAAGAGTTCAGGAAAATACCTGGTCTGGCTCTGTGCCAAGTGCTAAGAGCTAGCTAAAGCACATTTCCTACCTAATGGATTTAAGCTGTTCCCTAAATCTGCTGCCAGTGGCTGTCATATACAGGATAACTGGGCAGTAGCTCTATGGTCTGAGCAGATGGGTCAGTCTCATGCCTTAGGTAGGAAGGATCCAGCTGAGAGGAAGTGGAAAGGCATGTTTTTTCTGGCAGTGTTGTGTGCAAAAGGAGCATCTTTCTTTTGCTTTGGAATTGAAAATAAATCCTTGTGAGACTTTTCACCAAAGCATTTCTGCCAGAGCTGAAAGACATTGAGGCTAACTTAACTCCCACTTGCCCAGTTCTCCCTGAGGGGTTTCTGCATTGCTTTTTGTGCTGTTTCATGAGTGTGCAACATCCTCTTTATCCCTGCTCACCACTAAACCATGATCCCCTCTGATCACTCCTGAAAACTTTATTTTTGTGTGCAGTCTTCCATGGCTGAGCCAGGCAGTGTCCAGAGCCCCTTCCTCCTTGGTTAGAGCTGTGCCTGCATTCTTAAACAGAGCTGTGGGGGCACAGGAACTGTGCACACTCACATGCACAAGGCTACAGCAGACTTGATCCTGCATTTTCCCCACAAGTCTCCCCACTCGCCAGGAGGAGATTTTTGTTAGTTTTCACCTCAAAAAGGAGCTTTACCCTGCGCTTGAGCCAACAGAGGGCAATAGACTCAAAATGCAATATTGAAAAGAAATGCTTTTAAAAGATGGCTCTGAGCAGCCCAGCCCTTACTGTATCTGGTGTCACATATCACAGTGAAAGGCAGCATTCCATGCAGGACCTAAAACCTTCTCAGGCTCCATCAATTAAACCACCACATCTGAGGTGGAAGAGACTCAGCAAGGAACTCTCACTAGGGTTCAATGAGAACCAGATGTTGTGGGCACAGCTGTCATGCTTCTTATCAAGAACAACAGAGCAGCCCCTGCTGCAGTTTCATCAGGAACCCTGCCCTTCCTTCCCTTCATCCTCAGCACTACTGAGTGTCTCAAACCAGAACCAAATCAAATCCTCACAGCCAAAGCTCAGAAGTCCTCCCCAAATTTTGCTGTTTTTGTTAGCATACTGTTTGTGGATCTCCAAATCAGGGTCCTGCTGGGACTCTCACTGTGCTCGGGACACGATCTTCAAGCTGCCTCTCCTACTCAAGAGTGGCTTCACTCTCTCCCTTTATAATGTAATTTAGTGTTGGCACCGGGGCTAGAAGGATTAGAGGGAACGAAGTGTGTGTTCCCTCCATAGGAATAGAGCCCTGGCCAATTTCAGTTACATTAATTTAAAATATATTTACCCATAGGGCTCAGATGCCCTGTTTTGTTGCTCTAGATGAAATTCCAGATTGCTAAATTCCAGTTGTATAAACGATAACAGATTGCTGCTGTGACTGTACCCATGGAAGCACATGGGAATTGTGCAGGATATGCCCTGAAGGCTGTGAGTCATCCTGACCTACAAGCAGTGAACTCTGCTTTGGAAATGTGGTTCAAAGCAAGGGTTTCTCCTGAGACATCAGAAGTTCTATCCTCCCAAGGCTGGGTCTTTGCCCAAGCTTTGCTCTGCAATTCCTTGACACAGAGTGATTTTGCAAGACTGACCGGTCTGCTGGAGACATTATTCTTGTTTGCACTTGTAAATTATAGACTGAAACCAAATCTACCTGAATCTGATCACAAATAAACAAATAAAAAGTTAGAAGGGAAATAGCCCTGCAAACAAACAAAAACATTTTGTTTGGCCCAACACAGAAATTTTTGTGTGAGAAAAGGGCAGTATTTCAGCTTCTCATCAACCCAAAGTACTTTCTTTTTCTTTTTGTCAATTCCACAGTCAACTCAAAACTAAAATATTTCCACTGTAACAATATTGAAAACTGCTAAGTCTGATGTGACCCATGAGTGGCGTTCAGGATTGTGAGTAAGAGTTCTGGACCTCAGTGAGTCAGACAATTTGTGCATCCACTGTCATATTGCTGTTTTCCAGCCTGACAGGGGCGTTCACTGCTGCTCTGAACGAGCCACCCCAGAACAATCCAGGCAGCAGGTAAAGGTTACCAGCTGCCACCCAACCTGCAGCTGTTCTTCACTGCCCTCAGAACTGCACGTGTGCTCTCTGCCCGTGTCTCTTCTGTTGACATCATCCTGTGGTTCTCAGGAACTTTTAAAAACCTGTTGTAATTAAACAAAAATAACTTGCTTTAACCACATCTATTCCTGACAGCATATGCCAAGCATGAGTGTGAGGGAGAGGAATGACTGTAGAGGCCTTTCTAAGATAAAGAGAAGTCTTACAGCAGTCCTGATGGCTTGTCTGTGTTGATATTAGATTGCATACCAGGTGTTTTGTAAGCAGAACACAGTCATTTAAAGGCAACAGTGACCCTTTGTGAGCTATGTGATGCGTGGAACTTGTGCGTGTTTTTATTTCTCTCTTCTGTGCAGCTGATGTGTTTCAGAAGTACATGTATAGCTCAAATCTGCAGGGACAGATAGTTACCTACTAATATAAAAGCAAGCCCAAGCCCTCCTTAAATATCCTGATGCTCCAAAAAGCAGATCTGCCTTGGATCTTGCAGAAACTCATCATAAACCATCTGATACCGGGTTTTAATTGGGTTACTTAGGTAGAGATGAGCTGTGGGTGTTTTAGCAAGGAGCCTCTCTAGCTGATCCCTCATTTTAATTTCTGCTAAACCTCTTGTCACAGGACTGCCTGATCTCACCGGAAAGAAGAGGAAGGCACACAGAAGAACTGCTTGGTTACCCACATGAATACAAGCACATCCCTATTTTAGACCAAAAGCTGTTCAAGCCAATGACTGGCAGGTATTGTGGATGTGTAGACTGTTTAGTTTAGTTTAGTTTAGTTTAGTTTAGTTCACTTTATCCAGAGCTCTGGATTCTCCAGAGTCCCTGCCACCAAGAAAAAGGCTGGGTAGCTGGCTTTAGCTTCAGAAAGAGTCAAGTGGCCATCTGGGAAAGGAAATTAAGGTTGAGATGTGGCTTTGCTCACATTTCAGCAGTCATACTACAGGTAGTATGGGTGTCATCGTGCCCATACTCAAACCCCACACTTCTTGTTAATGCAGATGTGAGATCTGCAATAGTGCTTGAATTGTTCACAGCTTCTGCGTAGACTGATACTACTCCTGTTCAGAATATCAGTTTGGGAAACAGAGTGAACCACTTGTGAGTTGTTCTTAGCAGAAAATATTAATATGCTGTTGTTTACAAATAGAAAATGAAGCATCCACTTTGTGGGGAAAACAAAATGAAACTAAAATAAACCAAACCAAACCAAACCAAACCCACCACCAACCAACCAAAAAAACCCCAAAAAAACAACCCAAACCGACAAACCCAACCCTGCTGTTTATGTGCTCTTTATCACACAGTTCTGGGCACAAATCTGTTTGATCTAAGCTTTGACAGCAGTAGGAAGTGCTTTGAAAGTGCTTTAAAAGGCTCTTGAGATCCACTTGCTTAGCTGCACTAGGATCTGAGGAGCAAGGCTGTGTCCACAGCATCTCATAGATTACAGAGCTGCAACATGGATTTGATCACATGCAGGTAAAATAATACTACTGTTTATGCAGCCTTCTAGAGATTTTCTGTGTAGGCAGGACTACTGTGAGTCAAACCCACCACAAGTTTATCTATAAGAGTTATAATCAACATTCACTGTGAAAAACTAACCCTGTTTTTCTCAGAACTGTTATTTCTGACACATTTGTATTGGGTGAGAACTGTACCATGGAATGACAAGTGTGGGTGCCACTGCGCTCAACAATTCTTATGGGGTTTATGTTGTCTGGTAAGAGGAAATCTCACTTTGCTGAGTGAATCCGTGATTATTGGCTGTTGTGGCACCCCCTGGTGTGGATTCTTTGCTTTTTTTTGCCAGGGTTGGGATTAAATGTGTGAGATGGTATTTCTTGTTGGGACTCAGATGTTTATCAGTTCTTATCTCCGTTACAGTCTCACAAACCCTGAGTTCTACAGTGCTTCACTCTAACAAAATAAAAATGGGGCCCTGCCTTTTAAGGATAAACTGCCCAATTAAGAAATGAGACTCTAATTATTTTCACTTTTAACCCAATAACCGACCACCTGTGCCCACAATGTGCACTTTTTTATCCAATTACACAAAACCACCTAAACCAATGGAGAAGAAGGTGAAGAGAAGGTCCACCCTCTGCCCTAAAACCTCCATCTTACTTTATATATACTACTACATTCTAGAACCTTCAACTCTACGTTTTCCAGCCTGTGATATCACACACTTCTATTCAAACTCCACACCCACCCATAATCCCAGTTCTATCATTCCATTTTGGAAGTCTTCTCCACAGCCTCAGGTGAAATGTGGTGTTCTCTTGGGAGTCTGCCTGTCAGCACAGAAAGTCTGAAATTCTCAGCAGCCAGGGCTCCAACACCCTGCATCACACCTCTCTGACAGGATGAAGCAGGGAGATTTATGGATACAGCCACTGCCATCCCAGGTGGCTGTTCTAGCCCCCAGACTGTGGCACGTGACAAATTCCCACATGTCAGCTGTGAGCTGGACTAGGGAACTGATCCCACTTAAAAGAAAATCAAGTATATTTTTCTGAATAAGGTTTATTTTCCTTGGTGAAGGCTGGGTCACCTTTGTGCTGTTCTTAAAACTTGGTCAGATATTTGTCAGGAGGTTGCAGTGCTGCTGGGCATGCAGCCCATTTGTATTGGGAACATCCAATTTCCTGAGTGTCTTTCTGTAGTGCAGCCTATTGATACTGCAGACACCTGGAACAAACACCTTGAAAAGAGGAAACCTTTGCTTGTTAGGATCACAGTTTATTAGGACTCACAGTTTGTGTAGAGGTACATCCATGATCTGTCTTCTGGCCTTGCTCTTGAGTGCCCTGCACTGAAAAACCAATAGTGAGGGAGAGACAGAAACAAAATCACCCTGCAAGATGTAAGAGGGAGATTCTGGATAATATCTGAGTTCTTTTGGAGTGAAAACTGAATAGATTAAGAAAAGTACAATTGAATTAAAGCCACTCCTTTTTGAGTGGCTTTAATTGATACACTTCAATCCTGGCTAAGCAATTTCCTGGTGGACTTTTTTTTTTTCCACCTCCACTTTCCAGCACCTGCTTGTTCCAGAGGGCAACACTCCAGGGATTACTGTGAGCCAGTGCCAAGAGCCAGCATTTCTCACTCCCCTCTCACCCGCCTCCGTCCCCTGCCACACACCCCAGTATAGAATGACAGCACATTGCCACAATTTAGATTACTCTGCCTCTGCCCCCGTGGAAGGACAGGTCCTCTAGAGAACACCAGGCACAGCAGCTATCCATTCTCCCAGAAAAATCTTCATCATGGCCTATAAAGCAGCACATTTGGCCTTTAAGTCGCGCTGGCACAAGACGGATGAAGAGCTCTGTCGGCACAGCATGTCCTTTGTCTTGCACAAGGCGATCCAGAACGACTTCTTCAAGTGCTACCTTTATCTGCTGGAAAAGCTTCCCCTGGGTGAGTAGCCATGGGCAGGAGTGTCCGTGTGTGCTCTGCAAAGATGGATCGTGTCAGATGGTGGAGATGGTTACTGGCAGTGAGGAGGAGGAGGGGTAGTTTTGAAAAACCCAACTCAAGAGACTGCAGTGCTCACTGAAGAGTTTGGAACTCTGTCTCCCAATTCCCTCTAAAGCAGTAGCCTGTTGTTTCACCTAAACAGTCCACAGATTTTTAGAGGAGGGCAAGGGTGAATGAGAAGTTTGGTTTCTGGCTGACCATTCCTATTTTTGCCATCATTTGAGTAAAACATGCTTTGACCTGTTTGGAGGTTGGAAGGACAAATGCAAAACTAGCAGAGCTGGCAGGTGGTTCTTTCTTTTGCCTAATACCTGTTTTGTTGTTATTCTGGATGTCCTTAGCTCTGGTGTTTATATTGATTTGGACAAGTGCTTGAAAGGTGGTGATTTAAATTTTTTTTCAAGAGTCTTTGTTATGCAGATCCCTGTAGCAGATTGTCTAACCTACTGTTTGCTCTCTGGGAGGAAAATGCTTCCAGAAACTTGTTTATAGACAAATTTCAATGACAGTCTCTGGTACAGAATGCCAAGAGAGTTTGGTGGGTTTTTTGGTTTTGGTTTTTTTTTTTTTTAAGATGTAGAAAATGACTGTTCATTTCTAATGCAAATTTGACCCTTAATAAAAAGCAAAATGTCCCTTTGAGAATAAAGCTAAAAAGTAGATTTGACTTGAGTCTATTACGTTAGCATGTTCTGTTTTAAACAGAATTGTTCAGCCTACACTCAATGTCAGACCTGTAGGAATTTTAAGATGGGATGGATGAGCCTGTGCAATCTGTTTAAGTGAATTCTTAGGGGTTCCTTTCTAATTGAATGATCCATTTAGGCAAAAAGAATATCTTACCTATTTGTGTGAACTGTACAGATGCCAGTGATAACCCTGCTCGAGGGTAGAATTCATTAATCCTGTAATGAGAAAAAACATTTCCATGTTATCTTAGTATTTTTAATGTGCAATTTAGTATTATTATTATATATAATATATTATATTGATTAATAAGTATATATGTATATAATATATTTATTATCTTAGTATTTTTAATGTAGCAATATCTGCAACTATTTAAAATGAAACACGGAAAATAAATACTCCTATCCCTAGTGGTAGGTAGCTGTGAACAATGGAAAGGAAGGAAAGATGGAAAGGAAGGGAAATAAATTACAGGTCGATGGAATCTCATAAAGTTGATGAAAATGTTATTCTTTCATTTGTTTTGAAAATAAACACAACTTATTAGAAACAGAGTAGAATTTCCTACAGTGTTAACTGTTAGTGTAATTAGCACTGCATCATTTTATGGTTAGAAGGTACCACTATGAGCATCTAACTTAGAATTGAGTATAAAAATTCCAGCATCGTGCTTGTAACTTGTCTGGGTCACAGAACACAGAATTTATTTATGAACACAGAAATACCTTGTTTTAAGTGTTTCAAATGGCTGAGAACCCATCAGGCACCACTCAGCTGTTTCCAGGCCTAATTGCTTCACTCATAAAACTATACTTATTTCTTGACTGAATTTTATTGAATTTCCATTCCTGGCCAACAGGCTTTGTAAAATGTTCCTATCAGACCAAAGGTCCCCTCTGCCAAGCTTTTCATGACCTGACTCATTAAAACTTAGCTAATGATCTTACAAGCCTTTTGCCAGCCTATCCATATTACTTTGACTCCATGGAAGACACACTGTGAGCCCAGCCTTCAGGCGAATATGCAGCATGTCTCTTACTCCCTGGTTATTGTCATGAAGTAAAAGTGGGCATGAGGACAGGTGGAGTGGTTCATGTGCTGTGAATACACATCCAGGGAAATTCACATCCTGCTATGATGGCAGGATCTGGATAGGGGGACAGTCAAGAGGGTAAAAAATGTTTGGGTGATTGGCTCAGAGAGTTGTGGTCAAATCTTGAACTCAGAGTAATCCTAAGGGTCTGTCCTGGGACCTGTCCTGTTTAGAACCATGGAATGGTTTGGGGTGGAAGGGACACCCCCCTGCTATCTTCATCAGTAACCTGGAAGAGGTGAAGAACTGTTTTATCCTCACATCCAGAGATTGCAGCTAACTGCCAGGCCCTGCCCACAAGCTCTAAGTCGGGACTGCCATCCAGAGGCACCTAAACAGGCTGGAGGACAGAGACAGTAGCAACCTAGTGTCATTCAAACCCACTGAAATTCCAATCCAAACACCACGTTGTATGCCTGGATGGGAAAAACCCTGGGCAGCAGCACCACGGACTGCTCAGCATCTGGCCATGGAGTGCCCTCCTGTTGGGGTTTTGGTAGGCAGCAGCTGAATGTCCTGGAAGCAAAGGCAGCCAACAGAATCCCAGGATGAATTAACAAAAGCATGGCTATTTGATTGAAGGGAGTGATGGTCCCCTTTTCTCCAGCAGTCTTTAGACTCTACGTGTAGAGCCTTAGGCTGTCAGAGCAGGAAATGACATGGAATTGAGTTGAAGACCCTCATTATGGTGAGGGAACTGGAGCATATGCCCTGTGAAGACAGACAAAGGGAATGGGGCATGTTCAGCCAAAAGGGAGACCAAATATCATCCTGCTAGTGCCTACAGGAAGGTCATGAATAAGATGGAGCTAAGATCTGCACAGTTGAGTGCAGCACAAAGACAAGGGCTGGTGGCCATGAATCAAAAGTAGTCCAGACTGGCTATAAGGAAAAAAAATCTTTTTATATGAGGACAGTCAGGCATTGGAACAGGTTGCTCAGGGAAGTTGTACAATTCTCCATCACTGGAAGCTTTCTAAACCTAGCTGTCTAAACCCTGCTGAACCTCATCTGGCATCATGTCTGGCCCTGCTTTGAGCAGCAGTTTGGATCAGAGACTTTCTTAGTCTCTTTCAATTTGGACTATCCTGTAGTGGAGCTCTTCTAGGCATGTTTACTTAGGAGCTGAGCATATCTGGTATCACAGCCTGTTAAGAGAAACATGTCACTTTTACAGACCAGGCTAACATTTATAAATAAAAGACATGAGTAATTTCAGGCCCTGATCCAACAATGTACTTAAATGTGTGTGAGAGCCCTTAAGCCCAGTGGACTTTATTGGAGCTACTCAGATGCTGGAAATTATGCACATGTTTACACGGGCTGTGGGACCTGGTGCCAGTGGGCTGAGATCTGCAGTGGAAAACTGAGAAGATCCACCCCTGGGGACAAATATTCCTGTGTGTGAGGCACATGGCTAAAAGTAAAATCTGCTTTGGGGGTGGGATGATGTTCATCCTCTATAAACCAGAATTTACATGGTACTCAGACCACAGCAGAGAGGTAGATTCTACCATGCACACAGATAACTCTTTTTCAACTGATGCACAAAGCAGATGTTGCATTTAAAAGGGAGCACTCAGCCAAACTGGAATTAGTTCAGTATCTTGCAGAAAGCAATTGGAGCCACAAAATAATTTTCACAAATAAAAATTTCAGATAAAATTACTTGCAACATTTACTTCTGCCAGGGAAATTTAGTTGAGGAAACCCTGAAGTCAAGAACTGTAAGTCAGTATACTGCAGGTTGGGAGTGCACTGGGTCTTATGTGTTAAGTGGTTTTCTTTAGAGATTTAGACCAAATGCACTGGAAAACAACATTTTTAACTGATCCATAAGAAAATAGGAGAGATAATGTTTTGAACTTCGCAGGGCAAAAGGCTCAGGTGGATAGTGTCTGTGTAGTCCACGTTGGTTAGCATTCAGCTGTAGATCATCACTCTGCATCCAGACTGTGTTTGCAGTGACAGAAAATTATTGATGTCTCATGACTGGAGTGACCTTTAGGGAGCCACTCTGTGCCCTCAGCCTGCCTGAGCAGTGGGTTTTCTTCAACCATCTTTGCTTGGGGACTTGCCAGCAGATTCAGCTGAGGGACAAGTGTGCCATGAAAAAGTTTATTCTTTACTGGAAACACATTTCTGACTTTTAATCTTACAAGTTACCTGCTTTAACACTGAAAACCTCATATGTTAGCCAGCTGCCTGCCCTGTGATGCCTGAGGAACTTGCAGCCTGCCTCGTTCTATCCTGCTCATGCCCTACTTTACGGAATTCATTGAAGGCAGGCTGTGTACCCATAGCAGGCCTCACAAGTATTTAATTTCCTGATGCATGAGGCAGTCCCACATGGGTCATGGAAAGGAAGATGCCTCTGGCTAGGCAGGTCCTATGATGAGGGGGAGGCATGGCTGCAACACTGACAGCCACCAAGGACTTGTGGCACTTCTTTTTTGGGGTAGATTCCTGCAAGTTGGCAAACCTCCTCCTCCTCCCTGTGGTGCTGCTGCTGCTGGAGCCTGCATGCCAGGCACAGCTGTGAGGCAGATCAGAGGTGAGGTTGATTGGCTGTGTCTGGAAAACTGGGTTGTGCACTGGGAGAATTGGCAGTGCTGCAAATTCCTGAGAGGGAGGAGCAGCACCAAAGGAGCAAGAGGTGGAAATCACCTCTACAGATCTCACACTGTACAAGTGAGGCTGTGGGTCCACAGGAGAAGACTTTGGGTGCAGTATCCCTCTCTGCATTGGCCCGTGTCCTTGCATGCCCCGGGGTGGGAGACGTGCATAAAAACATCTTTGCACAGTTTAATGCATGGAGAAGCCCCTGTGGATGCTCACCCAGAGCTAGTTTTGGATGCCTGCACGTAGGGCAGGGTTCTGGGGCCCCAGATGGCCTGGGAGGAGCTGCAGTCAGCTGGTGTGTGCATGCAAGTCCTGGCAGGAATTCTGCAAGCCTGATATTGGTTCTGAGTGAGAAATGTGAGAGCAGACACTCCAGATCTGATATCCTGAACACCATATCGTCCCCATGTGCTGCCGCAGGTCAGGCTCATGTTTTGAGTAGATGGACTCTGAATATTTGTTGTTCATGCTGTCCTGGTGTGCAGACAACCTGTAAATGTCCTTCCTTTCAATCTAGCAAAATGGGATAAATCACTGTCCTTTGACACGTCCATGAAACAACCCCTGGAATCATCACTGGATTCTTGTATGGAAGATCTTGCAAAGCTAACATACAGGGATTCAGTTCTGTTCAGCAGACAGGCTGACCTCTGAAACAGAGCAAAAGCAGACACAGAGAAGACAAGATGGTGCCACTTCTGGATAAGGACATAGATCCTTACTGGAAAAATCCCAGGCACCGATGGAGTCTTTTTCCCAGGCTCTGGGAGCCACCCTGGCCAAGTTGTACTGGGGATTGGCTGCTGCCCCCTTCGTATTAATTATCAGCTGAACGGTTTCTTCTGAGTATGTGAATATAATCAGTGGAGTGTGTAAAACTCCCAGGTTTGACCCTTGCTGGGCTCAGTGCTTCTTGTGGTATAAATTTCTCAGGCATAACATAAATGTGTAATGGATTAAAGCTTTAATAGTATCCGTTCAGCAGTTGACTTAAGCAGGTGATGACAAGAGGGGCTGGTAATGCTGCTTTTGTTGGATGAGGGATATGCTGGGCATGCTGCTAATATGTAACCCAATAGCACTATTCTGTTCCGAGTGGTCCTTGGTGGTAATTATTCCCCATCCTAGTTCCTTTGTCCCCCCCTCATTTGCCTCCAAAATGTCACTCTCCTGCTGAGGATGGGCAGGCACACACTTATCATTCCCTGCTGAGTTTGCTTGCCCTCAATTAAATACATTCCAGGCTTATATTCAGGGCCTCTGGCCTTACTCTCCTCTTCTGTGTGGAGGGCATAATTCCTGTTCCCTGGCCTGCACAAGCCTATTCAGCTCCTTCCCAGCAGCAGCTGGCAGTGCTCCCATGCAAGTTTGAAGATGCAGGGACAAAGAACTGCTGCCTGGTCCTTGTGTGCAGCTGGCAGGGAGCTCTCCCTCCCTCTCTTGTCATGGGCTTAGAAGGTGTTTGCTGCTGAAGCATTTCCAGTTCCCTGGTGTGCTGGGAAGCTGCAGCAGAGCTGGTCTCACATGGCAAGGTGGTGCTTACAAAGACTTTTTCCCAATGTGACTTTGTCCCTCCTTGTTGATTGGCTTTCAGTGTTTGGAGTTGTGTTTTTGGTGGAGGGTCTGTCACACACACAGGAGAATGCCTGGGCAGTTGTGTGCACACACAAGACAGTCAGAGGTGATGATTTGCAAGCAAAATTTATAGCCTGCCTCAATCCAAGCTTTTGAGCTTTGAATCCATACTTTTGATATGCTGATGCACATCGAGTACAGAAAAACCCAGGCTGTGGAGGATAGACCTCCATTCTTAAAGAACAGGGCAAAATAGCCCTTTATCCATCAAAATTCACAGGTTTTAATGAAACAGCTTCAAAACACCGATTGCTGTATGTTACCAGCAATGTAGCTAAGCCATGAAAAGAAGCATCCAAGTCTCTGGCACACAGGAACCTTTCAGTATATATCACCCACTGATTACCTTGCTCCTTGACCTGTGCCAGATGAAAATTTAGGACTGTCTCTTCTAAATTGTGTCCCCCTGTGTACTCATTTAGGCCTGGGACTACCATCTGCTCCGTGGTTCAGCTTACTTGCACTGCCACAGACCATATAGTATCACTAAAAATAAACCAGAGCAAGTGCCTCATTCATCCCCACTCTTCCTGGTGCACTCTCCATGCAGCTGTCAATAGCTGGAAAGCATATCTGGAAATCTGCACAACACTTAGGTCAGTGATAGCAGAAATGATGATCCTGCACAGTACTAAATGCTGCCCACAGCTTTTCCAGGAAAAGTCTGACCACTTGATGTCCTTGGCATGTGTGTTCACTTCAAACCTGAGGTGATTTTTCACTGACATGAAAACACAGTGTGATGTTTGAAATGCCTTCTGAATCTGGAAAGCACTGAGTTTTCATGAGGAGGGCTGGATCCCTGCAAGGTCTTGTGGGATTCAATCCTATGCCTTTTCTTCCACCGTTGCTTTAGAAATGGATTTGGTGTTTTGAAAGCCCAACTTAAGTTTACAGTCTTCATCTGTGGAAAATGGATTTATAGAAAATTCTCAAAACCTGGCAGAAGGCTCACATAGTGTGCATCTGTATGCAAACATTGAGATAAGAAATGCCGACTTAGAAATGCCATGGAACAGGACAGACATTGTTGAGAGAGAAATGGAGCTAGAAACAAGTTTCAAAGGATGGTTTTGCAAAGAAGACTAAATGCTTTAGGGAAATAGAACTATGAAAGATCCATTGTAGTAGGACCCACGACGGGTAATTTTAGATGATTGGCTTTAAGGCATTTACAGCATGGTGTGGCAAAAAACTGATAGGTCAAGAAACTCTTATAGTGTATTGTAAGTAGGAAATAGTTGGCTTCTGCTTGTGATGGCATGAATTATAACATCTGTATTGTCTCACCCTTTTCATGAGATCAAAAAGGAATACAAGTTTTTAAAAACACCTCTCAGTTGCCCCATGTCTGGGTTAGAAAAGGTCATAGTCCAACATTCATGATCGTGCCTCTGGAGTGTCACTGTGGCACACGACAAAGAGGGATGAAGGACACATTTTATGGTGCAAAAAGAAAGGATCCAACCCGGTTTATTTTAATAAACACTTTTATAGGGTTTTTTAAGAACATCCCCTGTCTATCCCCAATTGGTCAGTAATAAGTTGTTACCCTGTGTTAATTGGTCACTCAAACCCCTGGTGTGTAGGTGCAGGAAAGATTGTTTGTGAGAGATAGTTTTCATTTTTCTATCCAATGGTGTAAAAATCAGTTTATACAGGTGGCTAGTGTTTATCACAGACCTAGAGTTCTTTCTCAGGGAAAGCAGATTGTTTTCCACAGTCTTAGAGCTCTTTCTCAGAAAAACCAAGTTATTTTTCACTGCTGCAGAGCTGTGTTCTCAAGAAGAGCCATCAGCTTCCTCATGGCTTCTGTCTGCCCAAGTCAGGATTCAGTTTGTAGGCCTTTGGCCTGCTACTTCACTACCACATGCAGCAATTAGCTAAGGCAGAAATATCTGTAACTAACAATAAAACGGTGATTTATCTGCTTGCAGTGAAACTTTATGCTCTGACAAGCCAAGTCATCAATGGGGAGATGCAGTTCTACGCCAGAGCCAAACACTTCTACCGGGAGGTGCCCGCCACAGAGGAGGGAATGATGGGAGACTACATCGAGCTCTCCAACACAGACGTTGAATCCTCCCGGGAGTTTCTCAGGAAGTTTGTTGGGGTGAGTCATTTAATCTCATATTCTGCAAGCAGTAGTGATGATGTGTCAAAAATGGCGTGCATAGTGCCCAGGCACACCTGATTTAAATGGCACTGTGCATCACATTTAATTTGCAGTCACAAGTCAGCACTGTCGTTTGGTCTAGTCATGTGTTCTGCCAGGTCATTCATCAGCATGAATTCACATTTTGCCCCATCTTACATCATTATCTACCTGTTTTACATCCTTTTCTAACGCTCCCAAGCTGCAATGAGGAGTTCTTTTAGCTGGGTTTGAGTGAGGGATTAATTCTGAGTGTAGGACCGGGACCTTTCATGATAAAATCCTTGTTGGCTTCTGTGGCAGATTTGTCTGTGCAAATTCTTGCAGTCCAGTTGGGAAAATAGCTGTGACTAAATGTTCAGTTTTTGATTTGCCTATTTATAGATATTTCTGAGAAGGCTACAACAAAACCCACCATCTCCCGCACACTAGAAGCATATAGAAGAGGCTACACATTAGGCAAAATATTTTTCCTTAAACATTCCAGTGTCACTGAACACCTTTTCAGGCAGATTGCTAAAGGTCTGTAAACATCTTGAAAGGTCTGCTTTGGCCTGAATTGCAAGGAGATGCCAAGTGGGATTTTGAGAGCAGTATCACTTTGGTTCTTGGGTTTCTGAAAATCCTGTTGAGTTCTAAAACTGTCTTTAGAAATCTGAAAACCTTTAGAAGTGTGGCCTTACGGTTTTCTGACTGCCCTTCCTTTTTCCTAGGGATGAGCCCACTAAATCAGCTCTACAACAGTATTAGATGTTAAAGAATCCACAAACAAATTTGTTAAGTTCTCCTGCTGACAAAATGACTAGTTCTATATAATGCTACCATAGGTCTTTAATTTTCTGCTCAAATGTACGAATTTGGGATAGCCAGATGACCTTTTTTTAGCCTTAATGATCCACTTGGGAAGAAAGCTCAATAGGTTAATTAGATGTTGTATATGGAAGAAAAAGGGCACAATTTAAATGGATTGGGATGGAACATGAGTGTGGCTTGACAGCAGATAGAAATCATGCAGACCAGTGAAGGGCAAAGTTTGCTGTACCTGATAGAGGGGGACTTTTGGGGCCGTGAGCAAGCAAAACACAAGTGAATAGCTGCATGTTTCTGAATCAACAATCATTTGTACTAATGCCAAGGCAAAAAAAGGCTTCCCAGAGCCTCCCTGTATGGTATCATGCTGTCAATAAACACAAAATGAGAAAATACAAAGGAGGTTCAGTGATTAGCTGAAGCTGATGGTAACATTTCTGCATGATGTTTCTGAAAATGGCATTTTCAGAAGGAAAATTAAACGCAGTCCAAGCACATCCCTTACATTTTATATAAGTCTTGTTTTAAGGACATTTGTGGAATTCAGGTGGTGTAGAAGTGTGTGCTCAGGGGAAGATTTCACCCTTCCTAGACATCACAGAGATGCAGTTTCCTGCAGCAGGTTTGTGTCACACTGTTACACCTTCTCCTCTCCAAGACCTGAAAAGGAAAGTACAGTCTGTGACAGAGTTTCACATGCCAAAGGGGAATCATACCCAATGCATCAGCTGTGATGACAGATACAAAATACTCCAGAACAAAATTCCTACTCCTATAATTAGCCAGGGATAGAAAGGATACTCTGAATGGCCAAGATCAAACAAGAAAAAAATTAAAAAGAAACAAAAAGGAGTCTGCACCTTTTGCTTATTCTGATTTGTTTGTTAAAGTCCATTGTCTGTTGAGATGTAGCCAATTGATTATGTTCCTTATGGTTTATTTTTCTTTCTTACTACTGAAATTTGAATCCTGCTCAACCAGATACAGATATTTAGTTGCTTTCTGCAGCAGTGACTTGATAATACAGCTAATGAACTCTCTTACCAATTTTATGGCTCTATGAATATTTTTTTTAAACCATAAGGTGATCAAGATATAAAAAAAAATCTGCTTCACCCTAATATACTTTCTTTTTTTTAAAGATAAGTTTAACAAATTTGGAAAATAAGAAAATTTGTTTCAGATGAACTGAACAATTTTTTTATTGTTTCACTCTCTGAAAAACTTTTCTCTTTGTTTTAAAGAGCTCAAGTCAATTGCAAAATTAAAAATGCTCTTTAGAAATGAAAGTTGACAAGTTTGGTTTCTTTTTTCCTTGAAAGTTATGGGAAAAAAAAAAGTACTTTGACATTTTCAACATTTTTTCCCATGTTTTTTTGGCTAAAAACTATTCTCTAGATTTGAAATACCAGTTTCACAGAGAGTTTCATTCATTTAAAACTCTACATTCTGGCAAAACCAGTGCTCCCTAAACAAATACTTGCCTGGTTCCACTCAAATTACCCCTCTTGAGTTAGTTTGGCTGGCGTGGAAATGCCACACAGTGACATTTCCCTTCCATGACTGATGTTGCATACCTTCAGGTATGGCATTTCTTAGCATGATCCTTAGCACCACTGTAAACTGAGCTACAGATTTCTTTGGAGAAAAGAATTCATCTTGCCTGGGCACATGGAAGGAATTACAGGAAAAGACTGAGAGCTTCACTTACATTTTAGCTTCGCGGGCGAGTCGAGCGGGGTTGAAAGTGCCACTGTGCTGGAGCTAAGAGGTTTTATGTGTGTGTGGGCAGAACTCAAACCAAGAGCAACATGGCTTGAGCCAGCAGGGCTCTGCAGACAAGCTCCAGGCTGTCTCAGGTACAGGGTTATCAGCACAGCTACAGCCCTGCATATTTAAGGCAGCTTGCTAATGCCTCCGTGTCCACACAGGCACTGTGTTTCCAAGTGCCTAATCCGGAGGTAGCGAGTAAAAAAGAAAATAAAGAAAACAAAGGAAGCATTAATTCAACGTCGGTTGTGAGCTGTAGGTGTGTAAAATATTACAGATGGAGATTATATTGACTTTATGGCTCCCTCTCTGCCCTCAACGCTTTCTCCCTTTCTTGCCCCCAGCTCACCTGCAGGATTGGTTACTTGCTGAGTGAAAACTTCTTGAAAAGTGATTTTTTCTCCAGTTTGATCAGAGTGATAGAAGAGATGTTGTTGAAAATGTGCTCTTTATTTATTTATTTATTTAGAAGGAAAACCACTGGGATTTTTTATCTATTTCTTGAATTCTGATTCCTTTTTTTGTCGTACATAACTTCACTGCCTTTCTGCTCTTCCAAACCTGAAGTAGCACAGGGAACATATCCCACAGCTCTTTTATTCCAAATGAAATTTATGAGCGCCTGATTTAGCTTCAGAGAACAATTTTGGGGTGTATATGTATCCTAAAGGACAGTGATTCTGAGTAATGGGAAGCAAGTCGTCAGAGAAGCAGTCAGTCTCAATTTTTGAAGCCTGTTCTGGCTTACAGTTTTCACTTATACCATTTTTTAAAATAAGGAGTCTGATTTTCAACTCAATTAGACTTTTGGGAAAATGTTTGCCTTCCAAGGAAAATGTTAATACTCTGTCAAAGCCCTAAGCACTTCCAAAATGAAAATATATTAGCTGAACATGGAATTATGTCAACATTTTCATTACAAACGGAGCTGTGGTGTTTCACAGGGCTTCTCAACTGACTGCTGGAAGCACTCACTCCTTTTCAGCAAAGTGTGGGATCGAACTTCATCTCCCATGACTGTTCCCTTTCCTTCTTCTCCATGGAACATGGAGATGTGTCATCAGAAGTCCTTGCTGTGACATGTCATGGGAGATGAATTCCCTGTTTTAAATTATGAATTCCCTGTTTTGAGTCCCTACTATGACTGTAGATTCTGTGAAACACAAATGTTGAAGGAATTACCTGGCTAGTTGCTGAATTCTGTTGGTGGTTTTGGTAAATCATCCCAGTTTTTTCAGCAGCTTTCTCAAAGATTTTTAGTTAATCCCATCAGTGTAGACGACCTGTATGTATCTGCCAGCCAATAATATGGAAATCCACCTTGTAAAGATTCAAGACACAGTTCCTTCTCCTTTCCTGAACTCCTTGTTACCTCTTAGTCTGGTCCTCAGTAAAACCCAAAATGCAGGAGCTTTCAAGACCTGAAGTAGCACCAGGAACTGTAAGCCAGAACAGGCTTCAAAATTTGAGACTGACTGCTTCTCTGATGACTTGCTTCCCATTACTCAGAATCACTGTCCTTTAGGACACATATACACCCCAAAATTGTTCTCTAAAGCTAAATCAGGCACTCATAAATTTCATTTGGAATAAAAGAGCTGTGGGAAATGTTCTTGGTGCAGCCTGTGGATGAGGAATGGCTCCCATTTTCTGGCTAACTACAAACAGGTAGTCTCCAGAGCCCAGTAGGGTTGAAGGTCTGTGGACTTGTGCACACATCAGGAGATTAATCTTCCTGGGCATACAAATTGGGAGCAGCAGCCCTGGAGACTGGTGAGAGCCCTTGAGGGCTGTGTGCTCTTTCTACAATTACTCCATGTAATCAGATGCTCGCCTGGGCTATTCATAGTCATGTCATTGACAGTGCTGTCCTTTGACCTTAATAATCTACTGAATTACCCACTGAAGCCAGGCCAAAAAAGTGTGAGTTACACGATTTATGCTGGGTTCATTACAAAGGGGGGGTCTCCCAATAAGCAGGAAGAGCAAGACTCTTCCTGAGCTTATTGCTTTGAGTGCAGTGAAGTTGCAGCAGGGACTTTGGCCCACGGCTTTTACTTCAACACTCAGTTCCAGAGGACAGGGAAAAGGTGTTTACATTTGCTTTTAATATATTTGTTTAACAGATAACTTTGGCCAGGGGAGCTCCTATCCCACAGTCAGTGCATGTGTCAGTTCAGAATTTCTGTTTTACAGAACAGCAGCAGGCTCTTAAGAGCTGTTTTATAGCTAGAATGGAAGCTTTAGGAGTAAAATACAGCTTTCATTATAAAGCTTCTTCTACAGCGCTTCATTATTTTCTCATAGTCACAGCCTTTGTGCCACATTTTTTCATGTCTGATCTCTGTCCAAAGATGACATTTATGAAGAAAAAAGGAACAGTTAAGCAAAACCTAGTCAATCATCCTTCTTGTCTCTATGCCTAAAAGAGAAATTCTGTATATGCTCCAGCCCAAACTTCTCGAGTTGTCATAAGTTACCTACCACTCCAAGGTCTTAGTTCAAACAAAATTTGTTTTGAGGACTGCACTTTGATCCCAAGGATTCTGTTTATCTGTAGAAATGCCCATGGGCACCTCAGGAGTTCTGTGCTGCAGAAGTTACTGCTTGCATGCAGTATTTGGTGTATGCTTCCTTTTTATTAGCCTTTACAAGGCACAGAATGAGGCTTATCTAGCCACGTAGTTGCCTGTGAGGTATGAACATTTGAAGTTGCAAGGACTTTACAAAGAGTAGTGGATCTTCTGAGAAAGCCAGGAGCTTGTGAAAGACTCTGTCTCTTCTTATGCCAAGCAAAAACTTCCCATACAGCACTAAATACAGTGAGAAGCCCCAGCAGCAGCAGCCAGGTATGTGAGAGCCCAGCTCATCTCAGACAGCAGCACCCAAATCTCTGCTGATTCTTATCAATCCCCCAACAGCCCTGCAAAGATAAGGATAAAAGACACCAGGCTGTCTGGACACATAGTGGGGAACACAGTGTCTTGGTTTGAACAGACAGGTGTCTGCTAAAGAAGGCAGAAGCCTCTCTTGAAATTGAAAATGTAAACATCCCCCCTCTAAATTATAATTTTGAAATTAAGGGGCTCTCAGGCAAAGATATGGGAGCAGGAATAACAGTTCTTTATTAGGGAAGCTAAAAATACAAATGCAATAGTACAAAAAAAGAAAACAAACCACTGCCAGAGTCAGAACATGCCCTGGCAGCCTGTGGGTCAGGGAGGTGGCAGCAGTCCCATCCCATGGTGGCTCAGCCCTCCTGCAGTGCCAGCTGTGCTTCTGCTGGAGCAGGATCCTGCACAAGGGGGGAGTTTTCCTCTGGAGCTCCAAGGCTGGTGGAGATGGGCCTGGGCTCCTCTGGGAAGGCAGGGGGAAGAAAGCTGCTCCTCTGGGAATGCAGTGGGAAGAAAGCTGCTCCTCTGGGAATGCAGTGGGGAAGAAAGCTGCTCCTCTGGGAATGCAGTGGGAAGAAAGCTGCTCCTCTGGGATTGCAGTGGGGAGAAAGCTGCTCCTCTGGGAATGCAGAGGGCAAAGGCTGCTGAGCTGTTCCCAGGTCAGATTGTATCCAGGTAGGAATGCTTGGCTCCTCCCCTGGGCAGAGCATCTCCCCATGGGATGATGGAATTTTCTCAGCCATGCAGGGACACTCACTGGCCATGAACAGAAGAGATCTCCTGCAGGGAGGATGAGTTATGGAAGAGATAAAGAAAACTGCCCAATGAACAGAAAATAGCTGATCCACCTCTGACAGATGACAAATAGAATACACTATTTGAACCTAAGACACATGGTTGCTGTGATTTTTTTCAGGTAGTATTTTTCAGATTTCCAATAATTTTCTTTTATCCCACAGGGGGTGGGGAAAGCTGGCACCAGCCGTGCCTTGGACTGTGGCTCTGGGATAGGTCGAATCAGCAAGCATGTCTTGCTACCGGTTTTCAAGAGTGTGGAGCTGGTGGATATGATGGAGAATTTCCTGGCTGAGGTCCCAAACTACCTGCAGGGCAAGGAGGACAGAGTAGAGATGTATTACTGCAAAAGCCTCCAGGAATTCACACCGGCCCCACGAAGATACGACGTCATCTGGATTCAGTGGGTTTCAGGTTAGTTCTGCGTGATCCTTCTAGCGTGACATCTCACAGAGCAGTCAGCCTGTGCTCCAAGGAGGTTCTCAGATCTTTGAGACGACTTCCTAAAACATCATGAGAGACTTCTGAGAGTTCCCCCAGGCCATATGCACAGTGGGTACGAATCAAGTTGGCTTTTTCAGGTGGAGAAATGTGCCAGTTCCTGGAGAGCAGCCTGCATGCAAAGGTGTAGCTGAGACTGAGGCCCCCACATATGAATTTTTTGGAGCAGGAGTGCTCTTTCTTAAGTACAGAGAGATGCACAGGGCTGACCACACTTGTGAACAGTGGTTTCTGAATCTCCTGATTATCCAGGCTTTGAGGTATTTCAGGAAATAATCAGGAAAAAAGCCATAGTGAAAATCACCATATAGTGAAATCACCAATACCTGTAAATCAGATCAGGTCTTATTACGAGCACTGATGTTTATCAGACATAAGTTCTCTTAGCTATGTCCCACAGTAGCCCCTCCTATAAGAAACATCTGCTTCTTCTCCTGCAGCCGCCCCAGTAAATGCCCTGTAGCATTTAAAACAAACAGATAATGAGGGCTATGTACCTTACCAAAAAAAAAAAAAAAAAAAAAAAAAAAAAAAAATCTGTGCAGTGGAATGAAGGTTTTCTCTTAATCTGTGAACCAAAGTGTCCAGGGTGCAGTTTCAGAGACCAAAAGGAATTATTAATTAATTAATTATTAATTAAGGCATAAGAGGAGGTCTGAACAAATTGCTTTAGACCAGCATAATTTTCCTTCATATTTTTGCTTTTCTTTAATAATGAGTCATTGCAGTAAAGTAGCTCCTGCCTCACCTTTTGAGCAAATCCAAGTCAAAATGAGGAGGATTGAGCTTAGACCTATCTAAGGCTGTGCTGGTCAGATATGTGACTCCTAACTAAGGGAGCATGTAATATTCTTACCATAGATACACAGCTGAATCTTCTTTCTCCATCAATGTCTAGGAAATATGGAGTCATTGTAATCATTAATCAAACTACTACCCCTATCTTGAATTTGGCTGAAATATGCCAACAAATTAATTTGATGGAGCAAGGGCAGGACTGTCTGCTAGAAAACAGTACCTTGAAGATCTCATTTTCTTAGGAAACTACACTAAAAGCCAAGTAAAGAGAAAAATAAGTTCAAAAATAGATGTTAAAAAGCTTCAATGAGTCTTGCCAATGAAATCTTAAGATTTGTTTTATGCATGCATAAGCATGTGAACCCCAGCAGTCATTTTGTAAAAAAAGTAAAAGGGCAAGCTTATATTTCATCTAGAAATTACCATTTTCCTTCAACTTAAAAGGTATTCAGCTTTAGGTTTTGGGACTTTTTTATTTTAATTTTTGTTGGTTTTTTCTGAAGGTTTTTTTGTTAGGAGTGGTTAAAGAAACTTGACATGCTATGTCAAAATGTGGTTTTGAAATGACAACTTCCATTTATAAAAGTTTAAGTCTTCCATCAAGAAAAAAAAATAGTTTTATTAGAAAATACAGGTGATTATTTTTTCCAAGTTTTTCATTCTGTTTCTGATCATCTGTGCTTGTTTATTCATGTTAGATGTTTCACATGAGATTTCTCATTTTGGTCTTCTCTGAGCTCTACACCATTGCACTCAACATAACTCCTGATCTTTGAGAAGGAAGGATAAGAAACAGAATCTCAATAACATTGGAAAAAAGCACTATTTTATAATATATACATATCTGCAAAAATCCCACCGAGTATGGAGTAACATGAGGAGTTTAATTTGGGTTGTGGAATTAGCATTGCATTCTTTGCTGGATCTTTGGTCCAGACATCTTGATAGCAGGATACAGTGCTACAAAAAGTTACAGAGATTTTTAGCAGTAGAAGGCAGAGAGGACTGGGATTATCTAGTTTGACCTATTCTATATCCCAAGCTGTTCTTTTCATTCCTTCACCCCCGTGCTAAGCCAGTAGTTTGTGTTCAATTAAAACATATCTTGAAAGATTCAACCATACTTGGTTTGAGGACTTCAAGAGGTGGTAAACCCCACTGCTGTTGTTAGTTTCCAATGGGTAATTGCTTACACTGTTTAACAGTTGTCACTTATTCCTTATATGAATTTGCTTGGCTCCAGCCTCCTGCCACTGATTCTTATTACAACTTAAACCACCAGATTAAAGAACCCTTCAGCACCTGCTATTTTCTCCACTCTCCTCAGTGGCTTCTGTCCACATCTGTTGCTGCTACCACTATGGATCCCAAATATTGATTGGAGTTGGTATTTGATCTCGTTTATTTGCCCAAGGTTTCCTAGTTAAATCTGGCAGGACTTGATTAATAATTTTCTGCAATAAACAGGCTATGGAGAATCAGATCGAGGCACCCTCCCAACATGTCTGAATGGTTAACAGTGATCTATTTTCCAGCTGTCTTGGTTTGAAGAGACAGGTGTCTGTTAAGGAAGGCAGGAGCCTCCCCTGAAATGGAAAATGCAACCCCCCTCCCTCTGAATTATTATAATTTTGAAATTAAGGGGCTCTCAGGCAAATATATGGGAGCAGGAATAACAGTTCTTTATTAGGGAAGAAAACAATAATAAAATAATAATAAAATAAACAATGCAGTAATACAAAACCCCACTGCCAGAGTCAGAGCAGGCCCTGGCAGCCTGTGGGTCAGGGAGGTGGCAGCAGTCCCATCCCATGGTGGCTCAGCCCTCCTGCAGTGCCAGCTGTGCTTCTGCTGGAGCAGGATCCTGCACAAGGGGGGAGTTTTCCTCTGGAGCTCCAGGGCTGGGGGAGATGGGCCTGAGCTCCTCTGGGAATGCAGTGGGAAGAAAGCTGCTCCTCTGGGCATGCAGTGGGAAGAAAGCTGCTCCTCTGGGAATGCAGTGGAAGAAAGCTGCTCCTCTGGGAATGCAGTGGGAAGAAAGCTGCTCCTCTGGGAATGCAGTGGGGAAGAAAGCTGCTCCTCTGGGAATGCAGTGGGCAAAGGCTGCTGTGCTGTTCCCAGGTCAGATTGTATCCAGGTAGGAATGTTTGGCTCCTCCCCTGGGCACAGCATCTCCCCACGGGATGATGGAATTTTCTCAGCCATGCAGGGACACTCACTGGCCATGAACAGAAGAGATCTCCTGCAGGGAGGATGGGTTGTGGGAGAGATAAAGAAAACTGGCCAATGAACAGCAGAGAACTGCCCCACCTCTGACAGATAGGAATAGAATACACACCCCCATTTCCAACCTAAGACACCATATTTTCACCTGTAGGATATCTAACAGACAAAGATCTCCTGGAGTTTCTCATCCGCTGCCAGGGTGGCTTGAAGGATAATGGTGTCATCATTCTGAAGGACAATGTGGCCAGGGAGGGCTGCACCCTGGACTGCCTGGACAGCAGCGTGATCCGAGACCTGAACATCCTGCACAGCCTCATCGAGATGAGCGGACTCACCATCCTGAGGGAGGAGAGGCAGGAGGGCTTCCCTGAGCAGTGTGTCCCTGTGTGGATGCTGGCCATGCAGAAGGGCCCTGGCCACTCCTGACTGCCCAGTGAGACTGCAGAGACTGGGCTATGGATGAGCCAGGGGATTGGGAAGGAGAAAAGCACCTCCTGGAATCCTCCTACCCATGCACTGCTCCAGAGCAGCAGCTTCTAAGGGGTCAGGAGACAACCACAAAGCTTCTCTCAGGAATAGTCTGCTCCTAAATCCTATCTCTCCATCGTTCTTGCCATTTTTAAAAGCTTTCCTAACCTCCTTGTCAGATCTCTATTCCATTAAGGAGTCAATACTGTACAAAAAACTCATCCAATAGAAAATTATTAGGTCTGAAGTTTTTGTAGAAGTTAATAATTTTTGGGTGTTCTGTATGAGGTGTTAACAAGCCTGTTTTTCACTATGGCACTTAAGTCTTCTTGGAATTTAAGGAGGATGTGTCAGATCACTGAAGCAGGAAATTCAAGTAACTTCTGGAAAACTTCACCAAAATTTTGTCTGTCCTCTCTACCTGGACTTTAAAATATTTAAACCAAGAATATAAGGGAAATGGTATCTTTTGTTGGCATCAGCTATGTAGTTTTGGGGGTTTGGGGGGTTTTTGTTGTTGTTGCTGTTGGGGGTTATTTTGGGTTTTTGGGATTTTTTTGGGTTTTGGGGGCGTTGTTTTTTAGGTTTTGTTTGTTTTGGTTTTTGGGGTTTTTTGTTTTTGTTTTTGTTTTTGCATTTCTGTCAATTTGGACAATAAAACAACCTGGTTAATTTTCCATTTTTAGGAGCTACTTCCTCTTCCTGACATTTTTGCTGTAGAACAATAGTGGTGCCTGTGGGATTTCACACTCCAGAGGAAAACTTGGCTGACAAATAGCTGCATGTTTGCATTGAAATTTTGTGAAAAAGCTTGCCCCACGTATTACATTCTGCTATTTCTTTCCCCCAAATGTTCACAGTGGAAACCACTTAAAAGCCTCTCTTTATTATTCATACCACTGTACATTTCTTTTTTTCCCACATTCAGAACAAGCCTGGCACCATATGCAGAGCTAATGGGATTTCACGGAACGTTAATAGTAAGGCTGTAAGAAGAACTAATACAGTATTGTATTAATTAACAACTGTGCTAAACTGCAGAGACTGTTAGTGTAACCCAAAAGCCATGATTTATATTCAAAGAGCAGCTGTGTAAGCCTGGATTTGAAAATACTGACATGCAGCCCATCTCCTTAAGACTCCCAGAAATCATACATTAAGCTTCTTGTCCTCTTTGCAGAGACACAGAAAGTGCTGTGGGAGGACAGAAGTTGATTTTGCAAACAAATTTGGAATTTGGAATTCTGCTTCATTCTAAAGATGTGAGGGGGGAATTTTGAAATTTGTTATGAGGGAAAGCTACACAACCACAGTTTTCCAAGCTGATTATTTTTTTTTTAATCCAGACAAAATCAAATGCTTCTTTTGAATGGAACTTTTAATATAATTTGCACTTAAAATGTTACTCAGGCTTGATGAAAATTTTAGAAATTAATTATAGCATTAGAAATGTTCTGGCTGTCAGAATTTTTATCACATCTTGCTCCCCTGAAATGCAATCCTGGCAAAGCTTTTCAGATTCTGTAGAGAGTTGTACTATGACAAATCTCTCTGTGCTAGGGGAAAGGAGTTCTATAAACCTCCCTCACATGACAGAAGGCACAATTGGCTGTATCAAATATTGTCAGCTGTGTTAGATTAACTAAAAAGAAGCCTGAAGATAACAAAATAAGGGAGCCTCTCAGCTGGATTTTAGTACACATTGCTGTTCTTTGATAACAAATCTCCAATTTTTATTTTAATTGCATAACTCATCTTCTCTGGCAATATGTTTGCACATGTTGAGAATTACCAGTTTATGGCAGAAGGCCTTCTGCCATCAACTCTTATCCAGGAACTCTTCTGTTAATGTTCCCTGGCTAATTGTAGCATTAAGGAAAACCACGCTGGTGATTTGGTGAATATTCTGGTGTTTCTTATAGCCTGAAAACCTATGGTTCCCACAACACAGATGCTTCTGGAATGTTTTGATTAATTCTTCCATTTTGATCAGCTGGTGTTGGATGGAAACTGAGTAAGTAATGTTTTTATCAAGAAAGAGGCATCAGTCCTATAGCAAAAAGAAGGGAATATTTACATATTTTCCTTTACATGGATTGCAAATTAATTTGCCCTTCACCATTTTTTTCTTCCAGCCAGAGACATCTGCCATGGTGCAGAATACTTGGGGGCTGCTGGAGATCCTTGTGCAGTGATATCTGTGCCAGGCAGGTCTGAGAGGTGTTGTCACTGCAGTGGTGAGAGAATGGCATTGTGGAAATGGGGAAATAAAGAATTTTATACAAACCTAAAAAGCTGCCAAATCTTACAGGGCACAATATATCAGCTGGTCATGTACACACCAGAGTTGGTGCAGTTCAGTCATGAGAGACATGGTTCCAAGGTGGATTGAGAAAACAAAGTGGTTCAGGATGAAAAATGGAATATAAATGGGTGGTGGGGTTACCAGTGAAATACATTTTTCAAAGTAAAAATGTTCTTCCTGTGTTTTGTGTATCTTTCCTATTAGAATTTCCAGAATGCATATACATAAACATATAATGAAAATTGGTTCCCTTAACTATGTGAGAAGAGAGAAAACTAAAATCTTAATTTAGTAGAAAAACATGTATTTCATGGTTTCCACATTCCTGAAAATTAATGTTTCATGGCTATGCTGCTTCCAGAGTAAAATAGCAAAGCTTTTCTGGTGACATAATGAATCTCAAGAGTAAAGAAACACAAGTCCTTCAGGAGCTTAAATGCATGAGAAGGCTGCAGACTGAAAAATATTTTGGTTTCCTCCCTTTCTGAGGCATATTTTAATTCCAGAACTCCCAGTCATCTAGTACAGGCCACCCTTAAATGTCCCTTAATTTGGGTAAGGGCCATTCTTGGCTTAGAAATTCAGGGCTGTCTGCATTTTACCAATAGTATATAATAATAATAAATAATCACAAATTTCAAACATAACATTTTACTTAGAAATCATCTGTTTATCAGTTCTTCTTTGGTGTTAAAGGACTGGATAGTCAATTCAATGGCTCTGCCTCAATTTCCATGTTATTTAAACCAATCATTTAAAGAAGCCTTTAGCTCCTTGAGGGTTTGAATCCCATTAGTTTTGTGCTCATCTAAGACTTCTTCCTGATCTCGATGTTACCAGAGATTTAATGCAAGATCAGGACCCTGTCTGAGACAAGGCTCACAGAACACTGAGGGTCCTTCAAGCCCGAGTCCTCATTCACCACTGACAGGTGATTATGGAAATACCCAACTTGTCCTTCAAGCAGATCTTTCTCCCAGGCATTCACACTAAGCAAAGGCTTAGCCAAAGCACAGTCAACTCCATTTCTGCCAAGCCACCACCGAAGTTCTGGTGTCACTCGGTGTCCCCATATCAGGTCCAGCTTCTATTCTATGGGACTGAAGGCCAAGTATTACATTTGTGGTATGAATGTGAGCCTCAAGCCCTGGTTGTAGCCTCCAAACACCACTGCAACCCCACAAAATATAGAAAAACAACTGTTGCAGCATTCTGAGCAGCAATCCTAGCCATGCAGATCCAGCAACCATCACAGCTCAAGCTGTTCATGTTCCAAAGACAATTCAGACATTGCAAGTGCCCTGTCCTTCTGAACTGGAACATGCAGCGGAATGGATGTGCTGAAATGCTTTGTTTCAGAAGCACTTAAATTATATCAGATGTTTTTAGCTTGACTTTCTTGTTTGGATGTTCATATAAGCTAGTTTGAACTGACATGTTCGGTGAGATGACAGTATAATACATTAAATGGTATTGAAATAGTTGAAGTGAAACATCAGTTTCCTACAGAACACACTAATAAAATCAGCACATTCCCTGTCCCTAAACTTAGTGAAACAAGTCAGCAATTTCCAGAGGAAACTGATTTCAAGAGGTACATCCCTGTCAAGAAGCATTTCCCCAAGCTCTCTTTGTCCGGACCTATCCCATCCTCTCAGGCAGCTCAGCTCAGGCTGGTCTAGAAGCAGCCACTGGAGGCTCTTTGAGAGGCAAGAAGATGCAGCTGACACCTCCAGAGCACTCTGACCAGCTCAGAGCAGGACTGGGCTTAAATCAGAGCATCCCCCTCTCTCCAGTGGCTGTGCAGTGACTGTCCATCCTTGTTACAACCAGCTCAGAATCTTCATTGTGATGTCAAACAGGAGTGTGGTGTATTCTGAGGAGCTGTGGCTGCCAAAAAGAAGGCAGGGTTTGGATAACCAAACATCCTCTGAAAATCAGTCATGGAACCAGCACACTGCATTCAAGGGACACTTCAGCACTGCCTAATGCCAGCTGGAAAAAGCTTTGCCAGTTAGTCCATCAAGAGCCTTAAGGACATTGGTGCCATTCCCTTGTTTTTTTGCAGGCTCCCCAGGGTGTTTACAATGGCATATCAGAGAGTGGGCCTGTCCAGAGGAACTTCACTCTCATATGTGATTAAAACCAGTTGTGCTGCATCCCATCCTTCTCTTCCTTTGACGCTTCTTCCAACTTGCCAAAGAAAATCCTGCCTCCACTTGCCAAAAATGATTTGTTTTCTGTGGACATCACCACATCTCACTAAAGTAAAACAGATTATCTTTGATTTTGAGAGGAGGTAATTCTGTTTTTCTGACAGCAATAACAACACTCTGCATTTCAAACATGAAGGTTAACTCCTGTCTTTTCCAAATGGCAAATAGACACCCCCAGACTGCTGTACCAAACAAAGCTCACATTCCCATCACCATAAATTACATATTTGCATGACACCATATACCCCTAGGCCATGAAGAACAAGGCTTATTGTGTTTGGGATACGGAAACTGAGGCACAGAAGGGTGATTTGGGCAGCATTACAGCTTCACCTAAGCAGTAGCTGTGAGTGAGTAGCACCTCTACAAACCAGGCCACCAGAGGAACCACAGAATGTTTAGCAGCCAGGCATAAACTGATTCTGACTGTGCTTGGAACATATTGAAACAGCCCAGTTGTGGTTAGCCTGCTTAACCCAACCTGGAATGTCCTCCAAAGAGAGGGCTCAGGCTGAACATTATGTTCAGGAATATCAACAGCTTCTGTTCCTTTCAAAGCCTTGAAACAGCAACCCAGTGTATGCCTGCAACAAAAATAAAACCACAGAAGTGGTGAAAAGTCTCTCTTCCCTGTATCCCTCTTCAAAGAAATGTTGAATTTCCAAACATTTCAACCTGTTGTGGTGTCTTCAGGCTTCTGGGACTTGGGTTTTCAGAGGTATCTCCATTCAACTGTGGCTATTCACAGTGACTTGAACTGATCTGTAGATACATTGTGCCTGGTGTTCCTCTCTCCCTCATCAAGGCAAAAATCACAGATCTAGGTTCAGAATCTTTGTCTGGGTTATTCCCCTCTGTGTGCACACCCATGCTAACAGTTTCACCTTCGCACACACCTCTGTGTAGAATAAATACAGTTTGTACTGGCTAAGGTGACCTGTGGTCCTGGCAATATGTGTGGCTTGCCAGCTTTTCATGAGGCATCTGCTGCAGTGGAACAGGGCCTGCTGTGTGATCTGGATCCCCAGACACCCAAATAATTCCATGTTTGCCAAGGGAACTGTTCCTGGATCAGCAGGATGTCATCTGCTCAACCTGGCCCCATCCCAGGATCCCATGGCAAATCCCCTGGGTGACATCTGATATGTCTGGCTTGTAAAACCCACTCAGATCTGTACCAGCCTCTTTGAATTAATTCTGCTTGTGTCTTAAGCCTCTCAGTCATGTGAGGATTTTTTAATGTGGGACACAGCATCAGCTGAACTGACCTAGGCACCTTATGGCTGCCTTCTCCATGTCTGTACATGTCCACAGGGCACACCAGCTGCTTCTCACCTGATTTGGACATCTGAGAGAAACTTGTCTGGGGTAAAGGCAATGTCAAGACTTCCCACAATTGTCACTCACAGAAAGCTGCTTCCTTCCTATAATGTTTATCCCAAGGTTATCCCAATCACACAACTGTAGAAGAAGCCATGGGAACTGTCTTAGACCCAGACAAGTAATTCTTTGGTGCCTAAGAGAGGTGAGTGAATTTCAGCCCCAGTCTATGGAAATTCATGGACCCCGCATTCAAGTCTGTTCTTTCTTCCACAGATGCAAACTTGGATCTGCAGCCCCAGCTGTAAAAATCTTAGATCTCTGAAAGTCTCTCCAGAGGTCTGAAGTAAAGGTTGCAGGAAATGGCTCCATCTTGGACTTTTTGGCATTTTCCTTCCAGAAGGTAGGGGTACAGAAACTCCTGAAAACCCAGAGAAGTGCAAATCACAGTAAAATTTGGCTGATATCTCCCTCAGATAGACATGATGAGTTTCCTGAGAGGTGCTTTTTGCACTCTGGATTGATTAGTTTACCAATGAACCAGGGCTGACCTTCTGTTGGGACTTATTAAATAACACTCTAGTTTTATTTATGGATCAGTATGTGAGTGCACTGCTAAATAAACAAGTGACTTCTCCTAAAATTGGGGTACCATTGGCAAACTCTTAAAAATCCGAGCTGTAAAATAAACAGGCTCCAGGAGTTACCTCTTACTCCTGCCACTGCAGGAACTTCAAGGTAACAAGAAGTCAATAAACCCCCATCAACAAAATCCCCACCGGGATCCAGGCAACTGAGACTCTGAAGCAGCACTCATCAAGAGTTAGTTTAAGTGATCCAGTAAAACATTAGAGTTCCCAGAGGAACCATATTTGCCTTGATTTGAGGCAGACCTGACTGCTCACCAAAAGCAAGGAGGCTCCTGTTGGATGGTGTCTGTAGAGTCCCTCTGCCTCCTGACGTGCTCCCTGCCTGTGTTTCATCCCTAAATGTCTGCCTGCCAGGGCAGAGGGACCCTGAGCAATGAGAGCTTTCACACCCTACACCACTTCGCTGCCCAGGTAGAGTTCAGTCCCTGTTGCTCTGTTCTCCTCAGGCTGATGTCTGATAGCACCTTCTGTTTGTAACATGAAGCAATTCTGATTTCCACGGGCAGAGCAAGCCTGGCCTTGGCCCCAAGGCAGCTGAAATCAGGAGCTAATTCCTCTTCTTCTGGGCTTTTCAGCACTGGCAGCTTCATCCTGCTTCCCCCAACAGACTGCAATCTCTCAGACAGCAAGGAGAGAAACACCAGCTCACAAAAGAGGTGCATGGAGCACCGAGGAGATCCAAATCAGTTCTACAACAGCCAGAACAGGTGCATGTACCAGACAGAAAGGATTTAGGAACCGTGGTGGATTTACTTTCCACCATTGCCTTCTCAGGTAGACAGATCTCTTTACAGTCAGGCTTCTATGGCCTTTAGCATTTCAGCATTAGAGCAGGTTATAATAATTACGACCTTTCCCATCCCACTGTCAGGTAGGGAAGGACTAATTAGCTTCATTGCATGTATGGGAAGCCCAGAAAGCAGAGTACATTCTTCTTCTGTTAATTCAGCTATTTAGTCAAATGGGTTATTACAGCTGCCTCA